AAGTCTCTCATTTCTGCTTCATTGGCAAAAATTTCAGGTTTCAAATCCACTCGTTCTATTTCTTGACTTTCTTCTAAACTCTTTTTGTTTAATTTTAATAACTTGAACATATTAACTGTTTTTATTTTTCAATTGCGGAAAAGCAATTACTTCTTTAATACTACTTTGACCGGTAAATAACATTATTAATCTATCTATGCCAATTCCTAATCCTCCCGCTGGCGGCATCCCATATTCTAGTGCTTCAATAAATTCCTTATCAAAACTAGCAATTTCTTCATTACCTAACTCTTTTTGTTTAGTTTGCTCTTCAAATCTTTTTTTTTGCTCGATGGGGTCATTTAACTCACTATAACCATTAGCAAATTCTAATCCTCCGATGTACAATTCAAATCTATCTGCTATATCTTTATTGTCTGCTTTGTTTTTGGCTAATGGCGAAATTTCAATCGGATAATCACAAATAAAAGTCGGTTGAATTAATTTTTTTTCCACATATTCTTCAAAAAAAGCCAAAACGATATGACCAACAGTATTTTGATGAGGTTTTAATTCTAAATGATAATTCTTAATTAGTTCTAATGCTTTTTTTTTATCATTTATACCATTAAAATCGGTATTTTCATATTCCTTAATTGCTTCTATCATTGAAAGTTTTCTAAAAGGTTCTTTCAACGAAATATTATGGGAGTTGAATTCAAATTCTTCCTTTTTAAGGACTCCTTGGGCTAAACAATGTAGCAATTCCTCGGTCAAATTCATCATGTATTCCGCGTTTTCGTAGGACTGATAAACTTCGATAGTAGTAAATTCCGGATTATGTCGAGCATCAATACCCTCATTGCGAAATATACGACCAATTTCATAAACTTTTTCGAAACCGCCAATTAGCAGTTTTTTTAAAGGTATTTCGGTAGCAATTCGCAAATAAAAATTTCTATCTAATTTATTATGATAAGTAATGAAAGGTTTGGCCAAAGCCCCCGAAGATTCGGAAACAAGAACAGGAGTTTCAATTTCAATAAATTCCCGTTCGTCAAGGAATTTACGAATATTTTGAATTA